TAAAAGTCTATTTTACTGAAAAAAAATAATAAAGAAAATAAATACAAATAAATAAATAAAGAGCTCGATTGAGTGGGTAAAAAATAAATAAAACTCCTGTATGTCCCCCCCCTTCACGGACCTCTAACGAATTACAGTTAATTAATGGTGCGCCGTTTTGCCCGTTTTATCACTGAAACAACATGCACTATCTCCCCGTCTCCATGGTTACGGTATCCCAGAACTGCGGCGGACAACAGGAAAAGTCTCGGGTTTGTTTGATCAGCTTATTAAAGACGGGAACTCGTCAGACAACACATCCCCCTTTTTTTAAAAGCTTTTATCAGCCTGTTTAGGAAAAATCTGATCTTATGACAAGCTCACAAACGTGTGTAGAATATTTTCCAGCAGCGTAAAGAAACATTTTTATAATTATCGTTTGAATTTGGCAAGTTTTTCCATAAAGTTACTAGAGAAATAACAATAATAAAGGCTATTAAACCCATTTCAGGCTAATCTTTTAGACTTTACACTGGTTTAGGACGCCGGTTCAGTTCTACTGTTGGAACATTTTCATAAAAACTAAACAAATTAAATGACTAATCTCAATAAAAAAGGTGACATATGTCAATTTATTACTTAAATCTAATCGAGCTGGCTTTTTTCTTTCAACTATGTGTCGTTTCTATGCATCTTTAAGTGTTTGATATCAATCCGAGGCTAAAAATGACCATCAAATTACTTCAAAAACAAAATTTTCCCAGTTGTTTTTCCTCCTGGACCACGTCTCTCTCAGGCCTTTTGCTTTTCTCCCTGAATATAAAGCATCGTTTCTCTGCTCTCTATTACCAATAGCTCGTTTTCTATGTTAAAAAGAAACATTTTTAATCATAATCGTTTGAATTTGGGGAGTTTTTCCATAAAGTTACTGGAGAAATAACAATAATAAAGGCTAATAAACCCATTTCAGGCTAATCTTTTAGATCTTAGACTGGTTTAGGACGCTGGTTCAGTTCTACTGTTGAGACATTTTCATAAAAACTAAACAAATTAAATGACTAATCTGAATAAAAAAGGTGAGATATGTCGGTTTATTACATAAATCTAATCGAACTGTCTTTTTTTTTTCTACTGTGTGTCGTTTCTATGCATCTTTAAGTGTTTGATAACAATCTGAGGCTAAAAATGACCATCAAATTTCTCAAAAAACAAACTTTTCCCATTTTTTTGCATCCTGGACCACGTCTCTCTCAGGCTTTTCTCTTTTCTCCCTGAATATGAAGCATCGTTTCTCTGCTCTCTATTACCGATAGCTCGTTTTTTATGTTAAAAAGAAACATTTTTAATCATAATCGTTTGAATTTGGCGAGTTTTTTCATAAAGTTACTAGAGAAATAACAATAATAAAGGCTAATAAACCCATTTCAGGCTAATCTTTTAGATCTTAGACTGGTTTAGGACGCTGGTTCAGTTCTACTGTTGAGACATTTTCATAAAAACTAAACAAATTAAATGACTAATCTGAATAAAAAAGGTGAGATATGTCAGTTTATTACATAAATCTAACTGAACTGGCTTTTTTCTTTCAACTATGTGTGGTTTCTATGCATCTTTAAGTGTTTGATATCAATCCGAGGCTAAAAATGACCATCAAATTACTCCAAAAACAACCTTTTCCCAGTTTTCTTTTCTCTTTTCTCTCTGAATATGAAGCCTCGTTTCACTGCTCTCTATTGCCGATAGCTCGTTTTTTTTTTAAACACCGGCTCAGATTAAAGGCATCCATGTACAACCAACCCCCCCCCACTGATAAAGCCGTCAGAGGAATGTCTTAATGAGCGCCACCCTCTCATAACACGAGCAAAAAGGCCCGGATCGGGCCGTTTCTAAACACAAATGTCCTAAAAAAAAAAAGAAACAATATGAACTTAACTGGATGAGAACTGTGTAATTAAGCTGGAAAAATAAAAGCTAACTGGGTCTGTTACATCACTGAGGACACCTGAGAGTCGACCTAAACTGACCTGAGGGGGTCTTTGAACATAACCGGGACATACCACATGGGGGGGGGGGGGGGGGATCACATGGAGCAGAGCCCCCCCCACCAGGCCAAACATGCAAAGTTCCTCCAAAGAGGGACTACGGGTCCTCGGAGGGTGGAAAAGGAAGTGGAATCTGAAGAAATGGGGGCTCCTTATAGAAGGAGAACATAAAATAAAATAAAAATATTTAAAAAGCCAGAGGGGATGTTTCAAAGGAAAGCTGAAGACTGTAACAGAACCTCGAAAAGGGCTTAAAAAGCTTGTTTTGGTTTATTCTCATGGTATTTAGACAGTAGTTTAAACTCCTGGAAGGGGAAACAACCGGACATTTTCATTACCGTCTGTCCCCTCTGTCCAGTTAAAGGAAAGCTGAAGACTTTTAAGGTCAGAAAAGCCTCGAAAAGGGCTTAAAAAGCTTGTTTTGGTTTATTCCGGTGGTATTTAGACTAGTTTTCAGACAGTCAGACAGTAGTTTTAACTCCTGGAAGAGGAACAAACCGGACATTTTCATAACCCGTCCAGTTAAAGTCAGTTTTAAAAGTAAAGGAGAGAGAAAAGTCAGAGTCAGAGTCAGATTTGGAGCTTTTTTTCTGCTTCCTTTGGTTCTGGGTGGCTGCACCTCCCGTTTGTCTCACACTGAGCACATTGTGTTCTTTAGGGACAAATGCAGGTCATGTGCTGCATGCTGATCCCTGCAGGCCGCCGTGCACGCCCCCGCCTTTTAGTTTTTACCTCGAAAACTCACTCGAAATGACCGATCAGGTTTTTTTTGTGTGGCACATTTCGTATACTGTACAAGACAATTCAAGCCCTGCTGGCCAATACCAAATTCCCATAAGTTTTTATTATATTAAGACTTTTATTTCTAATTTCTATCGTGTTGTCTGGGACAGGAGAGTACAGAATTTCAATTCTGAGCATGTCTGAGTGTGTATTACAGACTTTTTTTTCTTTTAATTTGACTTTTTCTTTAAAAAAAAGTTGCATAAGCAACTTTCTAACCATGTGTTCTGTGTCTAAAAATCCCAAATTTTAGAGATTAGTGTCAAACAAATCAGAGATAGATAGATAGATAGATAGATAGATAGATAGATAGATAGATAGATAGGCAGAAAGCAGCAAAGGGAGCAGCGTTTGCTTAGAATTTTCTGAAAACTTTAACAAAATGTGGGGAAAAAAACAATAAAATCTGTTTTTTCCATTAAATCCAATATTAAAAGGGAGCCGGAGGTCCAACGGGACACGTTTTTGGTTGGAAACGGCTCCGTTTAGAGCACAAAAACTCAGCGGTTCACATTTAACTGACTCTCTAACGCAGATAATCCAGATTATTCCCACGATAACGCCCCGGACGAATCCCAAACCGGAGAGAGACGACACGAAATAATGAAAAAGCTTCAAAGGCCGCGTGAAGGACTGAAAACGAGGCCTCGCAGGAGACGTGAACTCCCGTTAACACCAAAGGTCAGCCCCAGAGTCAGGCCTTTGAAGAAGAAAGACAGATCGGTTGACGAACAGAAGAAAAGGCAGGTTTTCATTTTTCATCTCCAGCTTCAAAGACTCGGACCAACGGCAGATTCTTCCAAATATAAAGTCCGCTCTCATCTGGGGTCAAACTAGAGGCCCGAAAATAACCTGAACAATCCCAAAAAGCTTTAAAAAAAACCTTACAAGACACTAATAAATTAGTTTTGGTTTGGAAATTGTGTCTCTTTCTTACGAGAAAAAACTTCTTTTAAAACAGAATCATGGATAATATCCTCATCACACAGAGAGAAGGAGCTATTATTTCCATTATTTTGACTTCCAATCTTACAATAATGGATAAATACAACAAAAAAAAGCTGGTTACCTCTTGCACCATCATAAATTTACATTTGTTAATATTTATATATTTTCTCTAATTTTATTTAATTTTACTTTATGGTATAACGTTACAGAAAATATTGATTTCATTCAATGGAAAAAACATTATTTTTTAAGTTTTTTCTGCAGATTCTTCCAAATATGGAGTCCGCTCTCATCTGGTGTCAAACTGGAGGCCCGACAATAACCTGAACAATCCCAAAAAGCTTTAAAAAAAACCTTACAAGACACAGGTCCATAGTCATTTAGTTTTGGTTGGGAAATTGTGTCTCTTTCTTACATTAAAAAACATATTTTAAAACAGACTAATGGAGATAGAGAGAGAGATAACAGCCCTTTAATATCCTCTCACATAGAGAGAAGTAAGGCAATAATATTTCCATTATTATTTATTATTAGAATAAACCAAAGATGGATAAATATCAAAAGCAAAGATATAAACCTCTGCAGAATCAGAAGCTGGCTACCATAAATTTACATTTGTTAATGGAATATTTTCTCTTTTTTTTATTTTAGTTTATGGTATAACTTTACAGAAAAATATTGATATAATTTCATGGAAAAAACCTTTTTTTTTTCTGTTTTTTTTCTAAATTTTGTCAACGAGTCAAAGACTCAGATTGTAAAAAAGTCAATTTTTTAAAAATCAATTTTTATGGGACCACTTTACAGCCATGTAACAGTAAAAGGGAACTATTGTGGGATTTCCTTTGTTTAATCTGACTCACCTATAACAGATCAATTAATCTAACCTAACGATCAAATTATTTTCAATCCTAAGAGCTTCAGTAAACTGGCAATAAGAGATAAAAATATCTTATTATTATTATTATTTAAAGAGGATGAGCGGCCGATTCCAAGCTATCATTTTGTCATTTTATCTCCTTCTACTCTTTTCTTGTTGTTCTTGGCCTGCAAATTAATTTTTCATGCTGTTAAAAAAATAAAAAAAATAAACACAAACCGGATGACAGGTTTACTGTAAATGTTTGTCTCGCGGCTCATTTTGTTACGTTGAGCCTCAATTAAAAGATTTATTCATTTATTTATTTGTATATATCTAATATTTGCTTCAGAGTTCTTCCCAATGATTTCTTTTCCAATCTGAATGAGCTAATCCTAAAAAAAAAACAGACAAAACAAAGTGGTTGTTTGTACAAAAAGAGAAAGCCTGTTAATTAAACCAGAAATTTCAAACAGAACATCACTTCTGCAGAAAATGCGCATAATTGAGCACTTTCAAAATGGACCGGCGTGTTGGAGTTCAGCTTTTGCTCGGAATCAGAACATATAATCGGGGCTCAAA